CATTCCCCCGGAGGAGCTGGAGGAAGTGTCTGGAGAGAGGGAGGTCTGGGCATCTTTGCTTAGACTGCTGCCCCCGCGACCTGGTCCCGGATAAGCGGAGGAAAATGGATGGATAGATGGACAAGCTGTTGGAAGAACACTTATGTCTACAGTATTATTGTATGCTGCAGTCTTAAGATTTTGCTTTATTGGAACAAGAGTGCCCAAACCAGAAAAAGCCAGTGAACATATTGGAGCCTTTAGCAGCTAAAGAGCCAGATAATATTCTCAGGAGTTGATGGAGACCAACAAACAGCTACATGCCCCATTTCCGGAAAAGTCGGGACATTTTCTGAAATGCAATAAAAAATCAAACCTGTCATTTGTTAATTCACCTGAACCTTTATTTAAGTGACAAAAGTATAAAGAAAAGGTTCTCAGTGATTTCACTGACCAACTTCATTGAATCTTGTAAATATAAATGAATTTTGAATGTGATGTCTGCAACACTCAAAAAAAGTTTGTAGAAGAGAAGTGAATGTTGGACTTAAAATCATCAGGTGAACACACCAATGAAAGCTGATGTTGCTGTTTGTGCCGTCTGTGTGGATATTTCCTGACATATTAGCCATGTCAAGCTGATGCGGTGATGACAGTCTTGTTTATAGGATAGGTTTCATTCTCATTCCAAATAGCAGTGATAAGCACTTTGTAGTCACATCAGCAGACACATTGCTAATGGATATCTCAACATTTTTGGCACAGACAGAATAGCTGCCACTCATATGTTTGCTGCACAGTTGATCCATGTCGGTGTATTTCTGGGTCTATTCCAGCTCACTTCCACCATGTGATCGAGCTGCTGCGGTTCAGACAGGGGACGCTGTCAGGAATCTTCCTCTCTGCTGGTGAGTGTTTTAATGATGTCATCTTTTCATAGATTACAGTGTATCACACTGTCTGCCTGGAGGATAGTGAAATGAAAGGAAGAAGCTGATGAACCGTCTTTTGTTTGGTCTACAACAGTGTTCCAGTTCTCCTACACAGCCGTGTTTGGGGCCTACACTGCCTTTATCTTCATCAGAACAGGTAGGAAGCTTTCATTTGCATCTTGTACTTAAAAGCACAATCTTCTATTTTCTTCCAAGTTTTTAGTTTTGTTGCCTGCAAATAGCCTTTGAACAATCTTTGAATTTGATTGGTTTCACTATAAAACCTAAGGATCACCAAGCTTTCAGCTTGTAACTTGATTTAGTGCGCCTGCCTCTTCTACAAAATCCTTTCCTCTTAACGTGACCTGATCTAGCTAGTGATCATGGCTGTCAGTTAGAATAGTTTGCAAGTGTACGAGTATAAACATGGCAAGATTATAAAGGCAGGCTAGTAAGTAAATGAGTGTTTATGTCTGGCAAGATGGTGTTTAAATGTCCTCGACAATCCCTGAAGTCTCATTTAGCCACTTCATCTTGTGTTAACCACAGACCTTACTTCCAATTAGGCAATGATTTATGTGCAGAGGAATGCTGTAGAAATGCTCAGGCTAAATGTTTTAGCATGTCTTGCTTAAGGTCAGCTCAGATTGGCTTCAGCCTCCTTTGACCCTCAATGATAAGTGGGTGTAGCTAGTGGGTAGATATTCTTACATGTTGGAGGACAGTGTTTCACCTGAGCAACCTCTCTTTATCCAGTGTAGCTGTAACTTGCATTTTAAAAAAACCCATAATGCTTCTAAACAGTAGATCTAAATGACATCATTGGTCCTTGTAGCTCGGATTTCTCCTTTGTGGTTTCCATATCTCTACTGTAAAGTGGTCAACATGGTGTCAATGTTTCCTCCTTACTATGTTGTTGCAGGCCACTTGATGGGTCCAGTCCTCTGCCACTCCTTCTGTAACTACATGGGTTTCCCCGCAATCAGCGCAGCCCTGGAACACCCCCATCGCCTCATCATTCTCTCCTCCTATCTGCTTGGGGTCCTCCTTTTTTTCCTTTTTCTTTTGCCCTTCACTGATCCCTTCTACTATGTCCTCCCTACACCAATCTGCACCCTCACCAGCTCTCTCTGCCTCTCCTGAGTCCCCTCCCACTTCTCTGCTTTTGTCAAGTCAGCTTCTGCTGATAAAGCAGTTGAGGTTGTTGTATTTATTTTTATTTTTGCCAGTTGGAGTTCAGACCAGGTCCAGTTTGGACCAACGACGCTAACAGCCATGTGGGCTACGTTCCCGTGGAGAGGTGAGGAACTCTGTAGCCAGTTTTTATGGTCTCTGAACCCATAATATGTCAAGTACATTTACATGACATATTTCACTGAACCAGCTCTTATACAAGCTCTTGAGTAGGTGTGGTTCATGTTGCTGGGAGTGAACCCGAGACTCTCTGTTATGTAATTGTTGTGCTACGCTGCCACCCTGATATGTGATTGTAGTGTAGATGTACACAGCACTGATGGACAGTTCCTCCTCAGATCCTCTTGCACTGGTAGATCTCATCAATTTGTGGTGAGGTGTCATAATGTACCCTTTTGGTGTACTCATTTTCCACACAGTCTTACTCTTCAGGATAATTTGGGTTTATTTGCTGTTAGTTTTATTTTTGTAGTTCTGAGCCATCATTCAGCGATTATTTATACCTTTTAAACATTAAGTTGATTTCCAACATGTGATATTACAAATAATGTTCCAGACACATTTGCTAACCACATCCCACATGCCAACTGTTGAAACGTGACTGCTTCTTCTGGCTGTATGCCACATCCAGTGTGATTCCCAGACAAAGTGGGATAAACTGTTGGTTTATTCACAGCCTGCACGACTCTGGTTCTCTCCACTCATAACCAGTGGTAATGATGGCCCAAACTATGAAAATAAGACCTGCGTGGTAGGGTTCGGCTTCCCGTCAGGTTTTCATGAAGTATTGTTTCAGGTCAGGTTAAGGGCATTTTGTTGCAAAAGCTTTGGAGTTGGGTTCAGGTTTATTTTCAAATGTAGATTTTTTTTTCTGCATAAGCCTGGTAAGCTAATGGCCAGTAATGAATAAAGGAAAGCAAAATAGCTTCAGGTCTCAGGTTTGTTTTAGGCTTTATATTTAGCAGTAGCAGTCAAGCTCAGTTAGATCTAAAAAGCGGGTACAGCCTGGGTTTGGCAGCAATATAAAGTATATTCTTTGGAGTCATGTAAGTGACCAAGTTGCAACAAAATAGAACAAGTGCTAAAACCATAAAAGCAAAAGAACTTTTACAAATAATTTCTACACACCAGCTTTAATGCCCCTGTAGAACTCTACCAGGTTGTAATAAACCAGAGCTGTCCTTTGAAGAAGACATGGAAATCACAGCTGGAAGCTGTTGTACAGTTGTTTTGGTGAAAGCAGTGAGAGTCACAACCCTCATAAACTGAGTCACATGACCCAAAGTGGGGCTCACGGAGTTGTTAGGATCTTTGTCTCTTCTGTGTGGGTTTTTGCCTGTATGATTGTTCAACAGCAAATAACCCTGTTGTAGCTGCACCGGAGTGTCAGAATGTTGCAGCGATCCTTGGCATGATGAAACAGAAAAATGACACCACTGGGCGACACTTTTTCAGGGATGCAATCGACATTACCAGCAGTTCTTTTTAATCTTATTTGCTTGTTTTTTAACTGTGACATTTCAGCTGGATTTCTTCTTTATCTAAATTCAGACTTTATGACTTTGCTGTTGTAGCAAATCTTTCAGCTTTTAGTATAAAAAGAGAGAGATGGTTAGTTATATACCGCTGCAGGATTCAGTGCTGGTAGTTTGTTCGGTGTTCGAGCTGCGTGGGTGTTCCTAATGTCTGAAACATGCTCTAAGTTTGCGAACACAAATGACAGACATTCTTAAGTGCCCGATCACACAGGCATTTCTAAAAATGAGCTTGTGGAGGAAAGTCAGTATGTGCAAAGCCTTCATATAGAGTTCACTTTCATGAGTTCACACTCTTGACCAGCTGCAAAGCTGCTTGTTGGCACTTATCGTTGAGCACAGCTAGTTTAGCAACTGGGCAAAGTGGGCAACTGCTCTGGGACCCTCAAAGCCTGTATCAGTTGTTTGTAAGTGATTAACTGCAAATTTGGCTAGGTTAATTTGTACCATTTAGGGGGCTTTCACACCTCTTTGGTATGTGGATTGTTTGGGCTGGTGTGAAAGCTGCCAGTCAAACTGCTGCAGAATAAACAACCAAACAGGGAATGCTTCGAAAGGGTCTTTCCCATGATTAGTCCCACACTCAAAAGCTGTTAAAACTGAGGTGTATTGTGTTTGTATGCTCCGTGTAATTAGGCAGTTTATTAAATCCATTAAAAGTGTGTGACAAGAGGTTTCCAAGGTCTGGACCGAATGAAACAAACAACAGCTCTGAAGGTGCTATAAACTACAATATCAACAGTCCTGCATTATTACATAATCATATGGTGCTATCGTCAACAGGGTTGTGGTTTGGTGCTCACATAATCAATGTGACCTTTACCAAAAATAAACTAAAATAAAATAAGGGACTGTAACTAGTCACTTCCAAGACCCGAGGTTCTACATTCAAAAGAATTCCGCTGTGCGTCTTTGTTGTGTGACCGGGCACTTATGATTTTAGGGGACACATTTGTGGAGATGCTAAGCATCTGTGTTCGTGCGCAGACAGAGTATGTTTTGGGCTTAAAGCTGGAGTTTGCTATATGTTATTGGCCTCTAAACCTTGTTGTCATGTACCAGACATCTTGCCTATAGGAGCTTGTAGCTTCTAACCCAGTCACTGTTAAAATTTGGTTCTGTGATTTCTTAGGCTGTCTCATACACTGTATATCTATAGATTTAAAAGATGCGATCCAGCCTTCTACTCTCATTCGAGTTGGTTATAAGTATATTGCTACTAACTGAAGGGAACGTAAGACCCCAGTACTCAGGTGTAGTTTAATAGAGGCAACAATGCTCCAACCACTTCACTGCATACCACTACTTGACATTCTCA